ATTGGCCACGGTGTATCTTCTTTGCTGCTGTGTCTGTTGAAATCCTTGGTTCATTTAAGTATTTGTCTGATGCATTTTTATAATTGAGCTTTAAGAGCTCTTTATATATTCTCAGGCCAATGAGACGGCTCAGCAGGTAAAGGCGTCTACTGCCATGCAAGGAGGCTCCTGGATTCAATCCCTAGAGTTCACATTGGTGGGAGAGGAGAACTGACTCCCACAATTCCATTGACCTCTATATAAATTTGTGGTGTATGACTGACCCTCCCCTAGATAAATAAAAATAAGTGTAAGGACAAATTAAGGGGCTGGAGAAATGGTTCATCAGTTTATAGCACTTGCTACTCTTCCTAAGAACCCAAATTCAGTTCCTAGCACCTATATTGTTCAGCTCACAATTGCCTGTCACTCTAGTTCCAGGTGATTCGATGCCATCTTCTTGCTTCTGTAGGTTCTGCACTCATATGTAGCTTCATTCACACAAACACATTCACACAAATAAAAAATAAAAACAAAATACGTTTTACTTTTTATTTTTGATAAATTTGAGGCATGATTTGCAGATATTTTTACCTTCTGTAGGCTATCTTTATTTTTTGTTGGTGTCTATTGGGGCAGATTAAGAAAAAGTTTTTAGTTTTGATGATGTTCACAGAGCATAAGCTAGCTGTTAATCTGAGCAGCAGTGTTATTCGCTCAAGATCACATGTGTGGGCATCCCTCATAAAGACTCTCACCTGAGATTCTAGTCGCTTGCTTCCCCTGCCCACTCTCCCAGCTGTATGCATACTCATTTCAGTAGGTGCTAACCGACATAGGTGTAGCTGGAGTTTCTTTTCCAGCCTGGTTCCGCAGCCAATTAGCTCCAAATAAACACACAAAGACTTATATTAATTTATAAACTGTTGGCTGATGGCTAGGGCCTCTTACTGGCTAGCTCTCTCTTATTATCCCTTAACTACTAATCTATGTATTTCTACATGGTCTTATCTTACCAGAAAACACCTGGTGTGTCTGATTTTCCCCAGTCTCTATGTGGCGTCTTCTCTTGGCTTTCCTCTCTCTCTCATTTTTCTTGTAGCCTCACCTACCCCCTATACTCTCTGCCTGCCTATTGGCAATCAGTGTTTTATTCATCAACCAATAAGAGAAACATATATACAGAAGTACATCCCCCATCATATAGACGTTGAAAGATTAACTGAAGGGAGCACTCTAACTATGCAGCTCTTGGGAAGTCGGTACCTATGCTGAGTGAGGCTCTACAGTGATTCAGCTGTTTGGGGTCACACATATGCCTTTAAACTCACTGGTTCATCGTCGTAGGTGCCCTTTGTTCTGTCATCGTAGGTGCCCTTTCATGGGTAAATAGACATTTGTTCTCATCTCCCCACGAAAAGTTAATGCAAGAGCCAAATTATTTCTTATTTTGTTGCCCATGTATCTAGTGATATAGTAAAGAAACCATTGTTTAACTATAGGTGGTTTCCTTCTGAGTTTTAGTCTTGCACACCTTCACAAAGGGACATATTGAGATAACCATGCTTCAGAACTATTGGTTTGGATCTCACTTCCATTCATTATAGTTATAATTCTCCCCGGAGACTTTTTTGTTTGTTTATTTTTTGAGACAGGGTTTCTCTGTATTGCTTTGGAGCCTGTCCTGGAATTCTAGACCAGGCTAGCCTCGAACTCACAGAGATCCACCTGCCTCTGACTCCCAAATTCTGGGAATAACGGCGTGGGCCACCAAAGTCCAGCAAGAACTTTTATCTTTTACAACGGTGTAACTAGGAACCTTAGAGATGTCTCAGCAGTTATGAGCACTAGCTGCTCTTCCAGGGGACCCAGGTTCAATTCCCAGTATCCACATGGCCATTCATAACTTTGAGTAACTCCATTTCCAAGGGATCCAATACTATGTTATGCCCTCTGCAGGTTCTACATATACATGATGCACAGACAAGATGCCCATATGTGTGAAATAATACAAATTTAAAATATTTTTTAAAAGGGTGTAACTAACACAAAAGGTGTCTGGTGTGTGTCAGACACTGGAGATACATATGGGCTAAGCATTTTACTGTGCATAGTCTTTTCAGTCTTCCCTATGCAGTTGATGCTACTTCACTTCCAGTTTTCATAATGCAGTATGTATATACCAATATCTATATTTTCAGGAAGAAAAATGTACAGACTAAATAAACTCATATAAAGAGTATGCTATAGTGCTTGACCCCAAAGATGAGTGTCCTCTTCTGTTCCTTTGTGACCTCATTATCCCCTGCTTCCTAGATATGACCCCTGGAGCTGATTTTTACATGCTCCTGACATCCTGATCTCCCTCCAATCATTGTTTATGACTTCATGTTAGTTTTTGAAAGATTTGTTTTGCCAGAGCTGGTGGAGCATGCCTTTAATTCCAGCACTCAGGAGGCAGAGGCAGGGAGACCTCTCTGAATTTGAGGCCAGCCTGGGCTACAGAGCTAATTCCAGGATAGCTAGGATTACAGAGAGAAATCCTGTCTTGTAAAAACAAAATGAGATTTGTTTTATTTTTAAATTTTTAATGATTGGTTTGTGTTAATAATCTCTGTGTGGGTATGTACACAGAGGGCATCAGATCCCCTGGAGAGCTGGAGTTCAGATAGTGTGAGCCACTTGGTGTTGGGAGTTGAACTCAGATCTTCTGGAAGAGTGGAATGTGCTCTTAACTACTGAGTCAACTCTCCAGCCTGACTTATGTCATTCCCAAGCTTTATATCTCCTCAACCAACTCTTCCAGTCCCATAAAGGTAGAGGGTATACTTTTTGTCATCCCATTATTCTCTAACACACAAATAGGCTTGGGAACATAGTGATCTTTTAGGAATGTACACCTGGATAGTGAGTTGCAATGTAAGTATTCAGCATGCACCAGGGCCTTGAGTTTTATCCCTAGCATCAAAGGAAATACCTCCCCCGATCCCTCAAAAGGTCCACAAATACATTTGGTACCACTCTATTTAAAGTTCTCCTGTGGAAGCTGGGCATAATGGAGCATGCTTTGGGTGTAGTGGGGTTATGCTCTGGTCCCAGCCCCTGGGAGGTAGAGGTAGAAGGCCTCTGACCACAGATACTTCATAGCCTTCCCTATGAAGCCTTCCCAACAAAAATAAAATAAAAATCTTTAAAACAAGGATTGCCATGAATTTGAGGCCACTTTAAATCATATAAGATTGCCAGGCCAGCCAGGGAGTACGGCAAGACCCCATCTCAAAACACAAAAATATAAAAAAGGCCAGAAAGGGCTGGGGAGACAGGCTTAGTGGTTGAGAGCACTGACTGATCTTCCAGAGGATCCAGGTTCAAGTCCCAGCTCACACATGGCAGCTCACAACTGTAACTCCAAGATCTTGGCACCCTCACACAGACATACATGCACACAAAACACCATGCAAATAAAATAAAATAAAAATAAATAATTTTTAAAAAGGCAGGGGCAGTGGCCAAGCCTATAATTTCAGCAGTCGAGAGTCAAAGACAGGAGAATCAGATGTTCAAGGACATCTTCAGATACACAGTAAATTCAAGGCCTTCTTGGGCTATCCAAGTCCCAGTCCCTGAAAACCAAAATAACTGAAAAAAAAAAAAAGTAAATAAAACTTTTCATTGGCACATAGTTTGTATTTGAATAACCCCAGCTTGTTAACTACAGCCAAGAGGTCTCTGCCTCTAATGGCTGAGCCATCGCTCCAGCCCCCTTTTTTGATGCTCATATCGATTTGTTGTTTCCTGACTCTGAGTCTGTTCCCTGTGCTAGCTTTGATTAGTTTCTCTTCCTGTAGGACCCACCCAGTGTCAGCTTCTCCCAGTCTTCCCTGACCAGCTTGTCATGTTACCACCATCCCTTCTCCCATGATTATTCTCGTGCACTTTGTCTTTAAAATTGTTTTATAATCTTTAATAGAAACAGTTTACATATTTATGAGATACAGCAGGATAATCCAATACATGTATACAATGTATAATAATCATATATGTTAACTGGCATATGACTTCAGACATTACTTAGGAACAGTCAAAAGCCTGTATGCTCTAATTTTTGTTAATCACAGTTATACTATTGATGCACTGTTCTGTTTTCTTCATGGTTCCAAAATCTCCTGTATAATTAATTATTATAGCTAATCTTTAAGCACTCACCTTAGCACTTTTCATACATTAACTAATGAAGAGGTATGCCGTTAATGCTTATCAACGGGCCTCTTCAACCCCCTGATTTGTGGTGTTTGCTGATTTCAAAGATGTAAACTCTTCCACCTGGAGGGATTTCACACTACCAAGAGGAATTGAGAAAAAGAAGTGAATCATCACACAGTATTTACTAGAATAGTTGTTTTGGTTGTTTTTGTCAAATTTACACAACCTAGGGTCGGTCATCTGAGAAGAGGAAACCTCAGTCGAACAATTGCCTGGTCTGTGAGAAATTGGATTTTGAAATGGACTGGTGTGGAGGGCTCAGGTCACCGGAGGTGGGCATCATTCCTGGGCAGATGTGCTTGTGTTGTGCAAGAAGGTGGGCATAAGCAGAAGAGAAGGTCCAGAAGCCGCATTCTTTCAAGGTTTTAGCTTCATGTCCTGACTAGGGTTCCTGCTCTGACTCCAGTCAGTTAAATAACTTGCTGAATGTCGCAAAGCTAAATATTAACCACTCCAAAGTGTTTCCTCAGAACACAATATAGAGCCTGGAGGATGGTTGGCGTTCAATAAATAAGCACGTTGCACTCTCTAAAAAAATAAAGGTAAGCATTTTAACATTAAAATATGCACACGAGTGAAATTATATCTTTAAAGTTAGCTCACGATCTCAGTAAAATGAGTACAGTAGTTTTCACTTCTTTTAGTCCAAACCTTTGCTCCAAGTTTGACACATCACGTTTTCCGTTGCCCTGCCGCAAGACTTTCTGGGAGTGGTAGTCTTCAGGTCGGCGGGCTCCCGCAGCAGTAGCTGCGCTCTCTCGACCGAGGTACTACAGTGTGGCGCGCAGGTCTTGAGGCTCTTCCGCATTGCCTTTTGCCCTCCCCGCCTGCGCGGCCGCCTCAGTTATCATGGCGGCTCCCTTGGCACTGGTGCTTGTGGTGGCCGTGACCGTGAGGGCGGCCTTGTTTCGCTCCAGTTTGGCCGAGTTCATTTCCGAGAGGGTTGAGGTGGTGTCCCCACTGAGCTCTTGGAAGAGAGGTGAGGCCACCGGCTGGAGTAGGCCGGTCTGCACTGTCCCAGCCTCAGTGAATTGAATTGGAGGTGGAGGCAGTGGGCACAAGTGCGCGGTTCGGAGAAGTCTGACCGGCGTCTGGGGTCCTTCGCGAGCTGAGGGCGGAGCTATGATGCGGAGGTTGGGGTGTAGAGGAGGTGTGGAGTGTGAGCCCCACTGCCCGAGGGGTGGGTATCCGAGGGGGCGTGTCCCACTATCCCGAGTAGGGCAGCGGGATCCGCGGAGGGATGGACATCCGAAGATGCTGTGTGTGCATTGGGTCGTGTGGAGTATTAGGGTGGCAGCGGGATTGCAGGTGGTGTTCCACCGAGAGTGGAGGGGTAGGTAAGGAGGGCCGAGGGAACCAGTGCCTTTGCAAGAAAGGTATCTGTGTACTGAAGTCATTTCTGCCCAATTAAGACTCTCAGTGAGGTATTTTGGTTTTGGTTTTGGTTTTTCGAGACAGGGTTTCTCTGTATTGCTTTGGAGCCTGTCCTGGAACTAGCTCTGCAGACCAGGCTGGCCTCCAACTCACAGTTATCCACCTGCCTCTGACACCGAGTGCTGGGATTAAAGGCTTGCACCACTAACACCCGGCCCCTTTTCTTAGTTTTTATCTTTTAAATATATGTATGTATCTGTTTTTCATCAAACCTTATTGCATGTTATCCTCTCCAGTGAGACACAGAAATTGGGCAGAAGGAGCCACAGGCCAGTAGAGGAAACGAACAAATATTTGTAATAATTTGCTTAGTGTCTGATATTTCGTTTTCCAAAATGGACTAACGAAGGATTAGAGTTTGGGGGAAGATTAGAAAAAGGTGGAGTTCCAGGTTGCAGAAGGCAAAGAGGATCAAGAAATACCCGAGAATTTGAAATATCCAGGGTTGAGAAGGGTCTTTGGATGAGGTTAGGGCTACAGTTTGCTTAAAAAATTTGTTTTGATCATTATGACGTGTGTGGGGGAAGGGGTTGTATGTGCTTGTTGTATATGTTCAGAAGCTAAAGGAGGATGTTGGGTGTCCCTTCTGTGTCATTCTTTTATTTCCTGAGACGGTCTCTCTGAACCGGAAGCTATTTCCACTGGGCTATATGACCATTAGCTCTGGGTTTCTGCCTGTCTCCACCCTTTCAATGCTGGAGTTACAGGCATCTGTGACTATGACCTTTTTTGTTTGTTTGACATGGTTGTGGGGGGGCGGTTTGAATTCAGGTCTTCTTGCTTGCATATCAAGTGCCCTTACCTACTGATTCATCTTTCCAGATCAAGTTTAAGTCTTTAAACAAAACGAAAACTGAAGTACATTATACAAATAAAGCAGATGTAATTGTGGACAGAGCTTAGTGAATTTTAATGAACCATGTCTACACGGATAGCCAGCACCCAGATCAAAACTATCAGCACCCTAGAAGACTCCTTTGTAGCCTTACACTTCTCTTACTGTTTTTGAAACATTCCCTCCTGGATTAAAGCCTTCAAGTGCTGGGACTGTAGGTGTGAGCCAACACATTGATCTTTATCCTCAAACTTTAATGCCTGTGTTTTGATATAACTTGCTCTCATGAACTTTTTTTTTTTTTTTTTTTTCATTTATGCTTCCTCTACACTCTCAGAGCTGGGCATGGTGGCTGTGTCTGTATTCCCAGTACCTGGGAAGCTGAGACAGGGACATCCCAAGTTTGAAACCAGCCTAAGCTCCTTATAGAATTCAAGGCCCTCAGAGCTACACAGTGAGACTGTGTCTAAAAAAAAAAAAAAAAACCAGAAAACAAACTATGCCTTATAACATGATTAATAAAAACCCAGAGACAGATATTGGAGTTCAAGCTGAAGATCAGAAAAGCAAAGCAGCCAAGCCAGTAGCTCTTAGCTTTACCAACCTGAAATGGCAATCCTTTCTCCATGGATCCTCAGAGTGCAATGCTTTCAAGCTGGAAGCTAAATCACACATGAGACCCTTTGGTTCTTCCTTTTATATCTCCCTAGTGCTGGGATTAAAGGAATGAGCTCCGTTATTCTTTTAGACTGATTCACTCTTGTGTAGCCCAGGGTGGTCTTGGACTCACAGAGATCCATCTACCTCTATCTCCTGAGTTCTGGGATTAAAGGTGTATACCATCACTGCCTGACTCTATGGCTGTGGCTAGCTTTGTATTTTGAGCCCCAATGGCTTTATTAAATCATAAATAATATATCACCACAATTTCTCATCTTATATAACAATTATTCATTTAGATCTGGTTTTCCTGTAGTATTTTGAGCTTGGTGCCTGGCATAGAACAAGTATATAGTTACTGTTGAAAGATGTGGAAGAAATGAAAGCATAAGCTCTATGATTTACAGGGTAGATAGAAGAATTTAAAGATGAGTCAGTGTTGTGTATGATTTCTAGAATCTTAGGAAGGATTTGAATTTTTCTCTGCCATTTACTTCATTTGTGACTTCTTGTCTGTGAAACAGGACTCTAAATGAGATAATCTATGTTGAAGCTTAGCTCAGTAAAGCCAAAACAGCATTTCTGAGGTCTTGGGTTTAGGTACTAGAACATTGTTGACATTAACTGAACTGTCAGAGTATGTGAGTTAGAAAAAATAGGACAATAAGTGTGTGGCATGCATGTCAGTCAGAAGTTGATCTCCATAGCTTAGGGTCAGTATCAAGACTAGAGAGAGTTGGTAGTTGTCCTAATTAGGGTGTCTGTTGTTGTGAAAAGACACCATGACCACAGCAATTCTTATCAAGGAAAACAAGTTTCAGAGGTTTAGTCCATTATTATAATGGTGATGTTCAGGCACACATGGTGCTGGAGAAGGAGCTGGTACAAGTTGATCTGCAGGCAGCAGGAAGTAGACTGTATTACTGGGAGTAGCTTGAGCAAAGGAGACCTCAAAGCCCACCCCCACAGTGATACATTTTCTCCTGCAAGGCCACACATACTCCAACAAAGCCATACCTAATAGTAGCACTCTCTTTGGGGGCCAGTTTTCTTTCACAGTAGTCATACAGCATTTGGGTCTTGTTAACAAAGGGTAGTTACTAGTTCATTTTAAGGAGAGGATATAGTATCTGTCACTTATGCTAGCCTTTGGTGGCTCACACCTTTAAAACCAGCACTCAGAAGCCAGAGGCAGGCAGATCTCTGTGAGTTTGAGGCCACCCTGGTCTACAGATGGGGTTCCAGGACAACCTTTAAAGCAATACAGAGAAACCCTGTCTCAAAAAACCAAAATCCAAAAACCAAAACAAAACCCCAATATCTGTCACTTATATTTACAATTCAGGTGGGGTAGATATAAAAGCAGGTAATTGTGTGCCAGGAATGGTGTCTCATTATTGTATTTCCAGCATTTAGAGGCTGAGGTAGGGGATTCCTTAGGCGTTCTAGGCCAGAATTGGCTACATAATGAATTCCAGACCAGCTTGGGCTACAGAGTAAGATGTCTCAAAACCAAAGAAACAAGTAGACGATTGTATTAAACTCTAAATGCTAGGCATTTAAAACTCATAAAGTAGGGCCAGATGTGGTGGCAGGTGCCTTTAGTCCCAGCACTCAGGAGGCAGAGAGTCAGGTGGATCTCTTGAGTTTGAGTCTACCCTGGTCTACAAAGCAAGTTCTAGGACATCCAGGGCTACACAGAGAAATCTAGTCTCAAAAAACAAACAAAACAAAAGTAAGATAGGAACCATTCTGGTTTTACATGACATTTGAGATTTTTGAGTTACCAGCTCTTTGGATAAAGGGCCTGGTATCCTCATAGACTTTGGCTGACTGTAAAATGGGCTTATTTATTTAGACACTATGTGTGTACACAATGTGTGTGCAGGTGTGTGTAGACCAGATCTGCTGTAGGTGTCTTCCTTGATTGTGTTCCAGCTTATTTTTGAGAAAGGGTGCACTGATCTGTTTTCTGCTGGTGTGATAAAATACTGACCAAAACTACCTTGGGGAGGAAAGAGTTATTTGGTTTACAGGTTATAGTCCATTGTCAGGGGAAGCTGAGGCAGGAGCCTGAGGCAGAAACTAAAGCAGAGACCACAGAGGAAAAATGCTAACTAGCTTGCTTCTCCTGGCCTGTTCTGCTCCCTGTCCTGATCAACCCAGCAATCCTAATCAGTTAGCAATTAAGAAAATACTCACAGACATGCCCACCGGTCAGTCTGGTGGAGGCAGTTCCTCAGTTGAGATTCCCTCTGTCTAGGTATGTTCAGGCTTTTTGTCAACTTACATAGGATCTTTCACTGAACATGGAGTTCACTGATGCAGCTATTACAAGCTTTTTATCATGGGTTCTTTATCTACCAACCATCTCCTCTGTCCCTGTTTTTTGAGACCAAGTTTCATGTGTCCTAGGCTGGCCTGGAACTCATGTAGTTGAGGTTTACCTTGAGTTTCTCACCTGCTTATTAGCTCCACATTCCAGGTGCTAGAATTACAGGTGTGAACCACTGTGTTTGGTTTTATGTGGTGCTTGACATTGAACACTGGATTTCTTGCATAGTAGGTAAACCCTCTCTACCAGTTGAGCTGGGTCCCAGCCTAATGGGTTTTAAGTTAGGGTATTATTATTTGTTCTTTCACATGTACATGATGATGATGCCTCAAATCTACATTCTAACACCTGAAAGCCAAGGCAAGAGGCCACCAATTGTAGTTCAGCCTGAGCTACAGAATGAGATCTTTCTTTAAAAAACAAAAACAAGCCAGGTAGTGGTGGTGCATGCCTTTAATCCCAGCACTTGAGAGGTAGAGACAGGTGGATCTCAGTGAGTTCGAGGCCAGCCTGATATACAAATTGAGTTCCAGAACAACCAGGACAGTCCCACAGAGAAACCCTGTCTTGAAAAACCAGAAACCAAACCAAACCAGATGAATGAAAAGCAAAACTACCACTGCCACCACCCAAAACAAAAACAAAGACAAAACAAAACAAAAAACCCAACAAAAACCTAGGGCTAGGGAAGTGGCTTAGGGGGTACAAGTGCTTG